CAATGAAACATTTTCCTCGCCTTTAAAATGTCCATGTTAAAATATGTTATCTCTGCGATTAAGGATGAAGATCGTAAACATGAAATACGTTGCTTGCCTCTACATGTCCTATCTATTTCTTCTATCTCTTTTCAAACATCTTGTCTAACTTTTATGGTGTACAACGTGTGCACCGTACAGGATGAATTTGATCCAGCTAGACGTACATTTTTCCTACATTACCCGGCGTATATAATGTTGACACAACCCGTCTCTATTGTGCTACGATGTAGTTTCAAAACACACACCCTGTATTCATCAAAACAGGTCGCGCGCTCTAGAGCTATTAAAACCGACGGGGTCACGTGAGTTGTCAAGCGCGCTCAATTCAAACTGGGCTGACAGGTACTGTCTGTCTATTCAGGGCAGCACGCTATACATGGCTCTATTCATGACACTTTGCTTTTGTTTCGTGTCATGAAGGGTTTTCTGTGAGAGTGCATTAAAACACACACACCTTTCATTCATCTTTCCTGACCATGTTCAGTTATATGCTTTGGGGGTCGCCTTCGCCTGCTGGCATTTCGGCAGTCCTGACCCGTGACGCCCTGCCTATATTTGCCTATGCATCAGCTATGACCACGTGACTTGGATCAGCCAATGAATTTCCCTTAACCTTCCCTCTACCTCCCTCAACCAAAAGTACCGTCTTATGATAACGCTTAATTCTATAACCTCCCTTGTGTCCATTGTTACCGCATCTTTAGGGAGTATTCCTCGGTCTACTGCACATCCAAGTACCTCCCTCCATTGTACACGTGCTCACGCTTTTTTCGCTTTCCATTGAAATTGGGAGGTAACTGGTATTGTTGTCATGAAGTCCTACTTTTTCCTCTACTCACGTACCCTGACGGCCGTCTGCGTGGTGTAACTATAGAGCGTCCTCAACGAGAGCGGAAGGTCGCGGGTTCGATCCCCGGCCGCGTCATACCAAAAGACGTTAAAAAATATATAACTTGTTGGTCCCTGCCTGGCGCTCGGGATTAATGGGTACAACAAGGACTGGTCGGCTTGGAGTCAGTATAATGTGTCTGTGTGAAGTATTCATGCTTAACTGTGCATGGGGTATCTAAGTGAGCTAACACTATTAAACCAGCTGAAGTCTGGGCTAGTACAAGCAGCCACACGCATGCATGTCGTCATATATGCGAAATATCCTTAAAGGTCACATGCAACGCAATACACAACTTTGCTGATTCTGATACCTTTCGGTATGGACTTACAGTAACAAATTATGAAAAATGCAAATTCAACTTATAAAGTTGAAAAATAACGCGATGAAAAAAAACCCCGCGAAATCGGAGTATTGCACTTTTGATTCGCGATTGTACGCTTATAATTTTGATTATTCGTTTTTCCACAATCAGCAATGCATGTTATATGTCATGAATAAGTGATAATTGTGTTTTAGTTATGTTTTTTTTTTTTGTTACGGCCTAATCCGTCGAATTTCGAACAGCCAGCAGTGCCGATCCGTCGAATCATGCTTGAGTGGTTCTGTGCTAATCGGTCGAATTTCAGACTGTGTTAACACACTAGGAGAGTCTAAGTTCATTAATTAAGGGGTCGGCTTGTATTTGGCTACAAACCCCGACCCTGGTGTATCACTCTGCCCGTTCTGTAGAAACACAGATGAAGACGAGTTCCATGTCCTTCTTGTAGGGAGCAGACAAAAGTATCTACCAGAATATTATACAAAGCACCCATTTCTTTGTTAAGTTTGTAGGACCACTATCCAACCAAAATGAAAAACCCACCTTATGTTAAGCAATTTTATAACAAAGATATTTGAGATTAGAGAGACCCCTAAGTTTAATCCCTACCATGCGACTTTGTATACCTTACATTATTATACTCCCAGGTTTATGCACCAAGTCTAAAGTACTACTCGAGAAGTAAGAACATCACGAACTATATATTTCTCCTTATGAATGCATTTTATTTAATGCATAAATTTCAATTTTGTACAAAAGTAAAAACGTGTAGAGAGTCCAAACATACATTTAATGCATCAATTTCTCATTGTATCATATGGGCGGTGGGGTAGCCTAGTGGTTCAAGCGTTGGCTCGTCGAAGACCCGGGTTCGATTCCCACATGGGCACATGTGTTAAGCCCATTTCTGGTGTGGTGATATAAAAGCGGCGTGAAACTAAACTCAGTCACAGTCAGTCATTGTATCATATGAGAAGGCAAATATATATACTGAACAACGAGATGGTTGTTCATCACACCAACTTCTAAATGCCACTCAAAAAAGATATATACTGTACAAAAGTACAAAAATATAGAGAGTCAAACCATCCAACACCCTTTGCGTCTTGTTTTGGTATGATCCAATGTTTTGATAACTAATTCATAGCTAAGATCACAGTGCCGATCCGTCGAATGCATTTTACTACTCTGAAATCAGAAACTCGACGGATCGGTACGCGATCGTTTTTTTGTCATCGGTTTCCAATTGCGCAGATCGATGCTCATGCCGTTGATCACTGGTCTGGATTACCTGGCCCAGACTTATTATTTACAGACCGCCGCCATATAGCTGGAATATTGCTGAGTGCTGCGTAAAACTATACTCACTCACTCATTCTATTTGTAGCCTCGGGTGATAACTATAAACTACCAAATTAGGTTTTCTCAGGATTGTTTATATTCTATTTTTCAAATATATATAAAAAATATTTTTCAGAAATATGCGTTCCTCAGTTTTCAGAGTTGAATGTAATTGGCGTCCTTTTTCTAGTAAAGGTGTGTTAAGTACTGATGCATGCTGACACATATTCATACATTGCTGTTGCACTTAGATAAGTATGGGTGCTCAAAATATGCATCAGCTGCACATCATATGCTAGTTTCCCACGGGTTCGGTGGTCTACATATATTTTTAAGCAATTGGAGATAAGATGTATACGTCAAGTCATGTAAAGCCAACATTTACCATATGCTGTCAGGTTTCCTCTGTATACCAACTGTTTGTTACAGATATTACAATGTTGATCTTGATCGTCTACAAGACAGAAACACTATTGAGTCAACGTGTATGGTTTAAGCTTGCTACACCAAATTATTCAGTGATACATTAATTAGGGGATAACTAACGCGTCGCCGATATAACTAAATTTGCGGCTATATAACCACCGGTATACGTCCCCAATTCGTCAAACACAGTACAGTTATCCCCATTCTAATTCAACTCGTTTTACGCTGTTTTTTCGTGAAAGAAATTCATTATTTAAACCAGGTCAAAGTTCCTCTAGGTCAAAGGTTAATCATATCACTCCTTCAACTTACACCATCGCCAGAGAAAGTAGTTCCCTTTTCAAACTACACGTTTATTATGTGCACACAGACTAAGTTTGACACTGATGAATAGATCATAGTATTTTAGATAAAATGGACGGTATTATGATGAAACCACCCTCTAGTTACAGAAATGAGCCGCCCGCTGATTCCTTAACTACGGGCCATTACCAGTTCTGTTGTCAAATGACGTCATAGCAGGTGACGTCACGCTCCATAATGACGTCATAAACCTTGTTTCATGATCTAACAGTGTTGGGTCAACAGTCCGTTGCGAGTAAGTTGTTTGAACTTAAAATTAAATTTATGATACTGTTTTGTCTTTTTTAACACAAATTCCACCCATTTTTATTGGATAGGGAGTTATTTGACCAATGGCTTCTGCAAATGACAATGTCCTGCGAAACAGCGTTACCCCAATAGTGTAGGGATACATTCAAAGGTTCCGTGAATTGGTTTTCAAATTGCGACCGTATATGCTGATTATACGGTCGGAAATTTATAGCATTGACCAATCAGAACTCGTGTTACATACTAAGTTGAATTAGAATATAACGTTAACCTCTGTTTTGCCTCTTTATCCCAACGAAATCTGTTCAGGCAGATGATCAAGATACGATGTACACTGGCGTTCATGATACGCGTGGCTCACAAAATGTTTGTAGCCTCTTTACTTCTGAATAAGGATCTATGTATCTGCTCAAATGACGCTCTGGCTCATGTCTATATCTGTGGAATGTTAAAGAATAGGAGTTAAAGTTAACCTTAGTAAAGGCTGCTTCGTGAAAGGAGCCCTTGTTCAACAATTAATACGTGCAATCTCTTGTCGCGTGTGAAAACAAATTACAGATCATTCGGCTCATAAGACAATTAGGTCAGCATTGCGTATAGACGGTCAGTCGAGCCGTTTGACACATGACCAGATTCTGCTATCTCTCAGTGTTATCTCGTAGCCTTCAACAACACAAACACCGGCGACATGAACAGCTCCAAATGTATACATGAACTTCATTTTCATTTTGTCCAATACACAATATCTGGACATCTAACAGTCACTGAATTGTGACCAATACACATCGTTTGGATTCAAAATAGGCTTTTGAATAATGTCCAGTACACAATCTCCGGATCCGATTCTCCACCTCTGTGGTATGTGGTGTGAGTGAGTGAGTGAGTATGGATTTACACCGTTCTTCGGGGTTCAAATAGTGCAGGTGGGAATCGAACCCACATAATCCATGGCACAGCACGGATAGACGCTTTGTCGAGGAGTGTCCCCTTATAACAATGGGTTGGACCTGAGTGCATATCTTGGTTTTCTCTAAGAGCGGTTTCGTAGCCTAGTGGTTAAAGGGTCCGCTCTTCACACCGAAGATCATGGCTCCATTTCTCGTATGGGGAAATTGAACGATATTCATTTCTAGTGTCATCGCGGGGATATTTTTTATATATTGGTGAAAACGGCATAAAATCATACTCACTCACTCCAGGTGTAACAGCAATAATAGCTGTGTTTCAAAATCTGTCGCGCTCCTTCGTCAGTCCGACAGGAGATGGCATAAACATGGTCAAAGGTCCGATAAAAATACTCTCATCCACATACTGTAATAAGTTTGTGTCGTAACAAACCAAAGAAACGTCACAGATTAAGCAGCCTACCTGGCGTTCCCATCCCCACCATCACCAGCAGCAGCAGCAACCATGTGCATCCCCAAAGCGTGCATCCCCGCCATGTTGACTTCTGCCCCGCCCCCTGGGACGTACATAGTGTATTCATTCTGCTACTCCAGACTGTCGGCGGGGAAGGACGACTACAGCATTCAAGTTGGTGTCACCTGGAGGTTCCCACGCGGGATGGTCTCGGGAGAGGTTGTCGCCGTGTGGTGATAACGCCGGCGTGAGGGTTTGTCAAGATTAACTCACTGCTGTTGTTACAGTGGACTGTTATTTGTCACCGGACATATTTATTGTTTGTTTGTTATTAAACGCCGTACTCAGTAAATTTCCAGCTATGGCTACGATCTGTAAATAATCGAGTCTGGGCCAGGCAATCCAGTGATCAACATCATGAGCATAGATATGCGGAATTGGGATACGGTGACCGTGTCAACCACACGATTGTATTAACCTGGGTCTTCGTTGGTACTTACTACCAATACACGTACATTCAGGTGAATCCAGGTTAGAACAGATCCCTAGTTGCCTGGGCTGGCCATGCGAGGCGACCTTAGCAGCAAAGTCGGTCATCGTGTTACCAGAAATTCCAACATGGTTGGGTTAACCATCAGAGGATGATGTCGTATTGGCCAGTAGCATGATCATTATGAAATTCAATAATTTCAGTTAAGAGAGGATGTTTACAAGAAATTTGTATAGAACCTGAAGGCAAGAAATATAGTCTAAAAAGATGATGTATTGTTTATATACAGGGTGTCTATTATTACATTTTAAGGCTGTTAATATGGCATTTGCTGTAAAAGTAGAGCTGTTAAAGATAGAGCTGTTATCTGATAATCGGTAAGATATTGCCTTTGATTCACGGACAGTGGCACAAGCAACCACGCCACCATCCTTTGATCAATCTGTTAATATCGATTTGTAAGTTTTATATGTATTTCTTAATTAAATATATTCCTGTCTGTATTGTAATTCATTTGTTTCAGATTTCTTTAAAGTGGTCAGTGTTAGGTGTACTTGTGGTCTCACCAACTGCCACGGGGGAGAATAAAACAGGCGGGATGGACATATAGTAATTAGGCCAATGTTAGAAGCAGAAAGAGGCGGTTTTATTCAGATTCCAAGAGGTGGAATAAGAGGAGATTTGTTTTATTCTTCCCACATATATAAGCAGGGTTGTTCTGGTCAGTGACATACTGCAAAGATAATTTGATATGGAGCTCATGAATAAAAAATACTTCCCCATTATCCGAATTGAAATTAATAGTTTTCTTTTCTTGCTGTTTTTGATATTTTTTTTAATTTAGGCACATAATTAGAAGACAAAAAATGTTTAGCGAGAGTTTATTCGCAATATCTGATTTGTCGGTAAGTACTTGATCTCCATGTTTAACGTCATGGACGATCGATTTAGTACCTTTACCTTAAATTTTCTGTACCTTGTTCCAGAAGTTTGCTAGTTTCACGACGTGACATTCATCGGATGCAGTCGTCAATGAGGAATCGTATAAGGACATTCAAGGGTAAGGATATCGATCAACCTCTAGATTTTTGACGCCGGCAATGCAGCAGTGCAAAGGCACGTTGTTGCATTGAGATAGCACATAGTGAATGAGTGAGTGAATTTGTTTTATGCCGCTTGTAGCAATATCCATGCAATAGCACGGAGGGGGACACCAGAAATGGGCTTCACACATTGTACACAGAGATAGCAAATAACCGTGAGAGACCAATATGCAGGAAAGTATTAAATGTGACTTCACGTTAAAAAGATCCTTTAATGTTTTGACATTGAAATATTTCTTTTTTTGTGATGGAAAAATCAGTACAGTCAAGCAGGACGTGCTTGGCCGTGATCCTTTCATCACAAGGGACGCGAAATTTAGGATCTTCACCATTAAGCAAATACTCTTGTGTATATCTTGAATGACCAATACGACAACGTCTTATAATGACCTCCGCAAATTTTGTCTGACAGAGCAAGTAGGTTTAACCAACATAGGTTATATTTCATGTTATTTATTATTAACTACTTGGGTGTCCTACTTCTTCAGATCACGGATATCTGATCTAATGATGGCTTTGTGATCAGATTTGTGTAGTGTTGCTTTAGCAGCAGAATCAGCCACTGTGTTACCAGAATTCTAATGTGGCGGGATAACCAACAAAAAACGATGTCGTATTGTCCACCCAAATCGTTTGTGCCCCGCGCCTTTACTAGATAAAGCTTGGTGTCAAACATGCAGAAAAGTCATTGAATTGTTCTTGAGATATCTCGCTGACAAGGGTAAAACGTTAAAGTCCCCTTGTGACCTTGAAATGAAGATCAAGGCCACCAAACCTGACTGGGACCTTTTGACACTGTGATGAACCTAGGTACCAAGTATGAAGAGTATCTAGTAAACGGTTCTTAAGATATTCAAATTCGTACGTACGGCGAGTGGCGGGGGATAATAGCCATTCGATTCTGCAGATTCCTATACACCGCTTTATTCTGCGACACACATTCATAATGTTGCGTTGTACAATCCTATGAGTATATCCCATGAAGCAGGTTCAAGAAACTTATTTGATTACCCTTGAGTCCGAAACAACGCTTTGTATACTATTATTACTTTATTATTACTTCTAAGACGTTTCGCTAAAAGATCAAATGCGCCGACAGTACTTCATCAGGCGATAAAGTACACTATTGCATGACGTCACACTGTATGACGTCACTATGCCATTCTCCTCTGACCCCTTGTCATCAAGCATACCCTTGTAACCGACGTCACAATGCATGTCAGTCGTCATTGCCTCGTACATTCTCCTACGGTAAACTGTTCCGAAGAACCCCGATTCATGGTTTACATATGCTTTACTTGGCTACTTGGTGAAAACATTATGTTTATGCTTTTCGACGGATAAAATGTCTCAGCTCAAGTCACAATTAAACAGGGACACGGTAACGTTCACAATGTTTACGGTCCCACAATGCATCCGTGAATTGTCGCGTGACTAGTCAGCTTTATCTGTACTTAGGGTTCTAAACGTACGTTGGTAGTAGAAAAGCGGTCATTCGTATTGTCCCATATGGTTTATGTTAATCTCTAGGGGTGGGTATTGCCAAGAAGTTTCATATTGCGATATATTTTGATGCAATATATTGCTAGAAGCTTTTTACATAAAAACTACTTCTAATGCTTGAGTTGTAAAGCAACAACAGAACAAAAATACTATCCTTGATTCAGCTTTAATAAAAACAACAACTTTCAATCATGACAAAATAAAAATGTAAATAATACTTGGCAGAAATGAAACATGGAAATGAACAATTTAACATCAACGCAGTGGTTACTAGCTTGAACTACTTTCTCCACTCTCACAAAAAAGCCCTGAGATTTAACACAGCAACTTGACCTGGTCAGGACATATCATAGATCACTGGTAATTAATGAGTAAGTATTTAAAACATCAAATTCCAAAACACTTCAAACCGAACTTAACAATCCAGTTAAATGTAATTTTCACCACGACCAGTCCACCACTATTACCACAATTGCCACAATCATCAAGGTTCCGAGTGTTACCAAGTTTTCTGAATGCATATCAAAATACCGGTTTTCGATCAGCGTATCGCAATATGTATCGTTTTCATGTCTGAACCGAAAATACCGGTAAACCGGTTTTACTGCGCAGCCCGATTAATCACAGATGCAATTGGAAGAAGTTGGAGAAGATAACTATTATTATTACGTATTATCCAAGATACGGTAATAACATGCACGCGTCACAACAACGCGGTGGTAACTATCAAACGATTTGGACTTTAAAGGCAATTTTATAAATCATACTTTCATAAATACATATACCATACATGCATATGCAAAAATACTACTTGCAAATTTCGTGGCAGAATCAATGCATCTCAAGCAGGCTTGGTGGACCATTTTCCCCTCACAGCGATGCACGCTATTAATTTCACACCATACTGCATGCTTGCCTCGCCTCATCCCCTGCAGTTACAACTCCTGTCATAAAAACTAAGCCATTCAACCGCGACCCCTAAAATAAAGAATGTGACTTTCTATTATCTACAAATGGTCTTTATGCGGTTTAAAAGTTTCTACAGAAATGTATGCAATTAGTTTTTGAGTTTGAAAATTTGAAACCGTTTTAATTGACCATATGTGAATTTTTACTGAGACATAGTTTTGACTGTCTCTCGAATGCATGCATAATTATATTTTCTTTTTGTTTCTTTTGTTTTATTTTAATGTACTGCATTATGATTGCCAAATAACTTTATATGTAAGGATTAGCTTTTGACACGAGAAATATTTAGGTCGGCAGAGATCACCCAATGTTAGGTTTTGGAGACGGATTAAGGATCATAGATAAAGTTTTGTTTCTTTAATGTGTGTATTCGAAGGTGGAAAGAATAGTACACAGTCAGTTTGGGGGTTAATTTGTCAAATCTTCTTGTGTCACCTCGGGGTAGACTAAAATGAACCTACCTACCTGGATTCCAGAAGCTGTTTCAGCTGTAAAGACTTACATCTCTAACATATTCGCCACAGCTTGAGCTCACAGAACGTCGGCCATGTCAGTCATGACTCTAGATCAAAGGTACCCATTGGCAGAAGTCAAAATTGTATTTGGTACCTGTTCGAAGAGGTACGTTGTCTGGTTCATACTTCAAGCATACCATGATTTCTAGCCTTGAGTATTTGATACATCGGACAGAGTGTGGATAACTGGGTCGTGTGTTTGTAGTGTGTGTGTTTCTGAGTGTATGTATTTATGTGTGTGCTCAGCACATAGGTTTGTTTGTTTGTTTGTTTGTGACGGCGGACTGTGAATAATCGTGACTGGACCAGACAATCCAGTGATCAACAGAATGAGCATGGTTCTGCGCGTCCTATACGCATATAAATTGACAACTGACGCAACGAAATTTGTTAGCGCGTCCACAAGAAGGCAGACAAATTCCAAATACGTTTTGTAAACATTTCGATCAAGTAACAATAAGTTATCACTGAGTCTGCTACTAGCCGGGTTATGGTATCATTTGCAATTTACTTACTGTAACAATGTGAGGATCATGATACACAATACGAGGGGGAATAAAAGATGTATAATTATCATCAAGACGTATTTAGGGTAGAAACTTTATTTTGATTACTTTTCCTCAAGACTTCCCTAGGTCTACTCCAGTAGTAGAGGTAATGATAGTCCGAGATCAAGTCCAACAAAAGCCTCTGCAAAGCCTTATTCCCCAAATAAGGCTTTGCAGAGGCTTTTGTTGGACTTGATCTCGGACTATCATTACCTCTACTACTACTCCCATTTGTGAGAACTCCCAGTTGTGAGTCTCCCTGTTGTGAGACAGCGGAGTAGGTAATCAGCAAAGAAAACCCACCTTACTCCCCTATCTGATAGAATGGATTAACCCCAGCTAATTATGGATTAGCTATTTAACTGAATCTTGTGGAGGTAACTTAATGAAACTCTAAGAGATAAAGTAATTAACCTACTCAGCTAAATGGCTTTAAAAAATAAACCCTTTGTGTAGGTAACTTCGTGATCATTTGAAAGAGAAAATAATTTACCTACTCAGATTTACGTGTTTGAAAAATCTAGCAATAACTGTTGTTACTATAATTAATCCAAATGTATTTATTAACCTTTGACTGCTCTTTCCGATCACCATTATGCCAGGCCTTCAACAAGTAGAATATATCACCAGTTCACGATAATCTCTTTCAGTATTTCAGTATCTATTGAAAACAATAAATGCTCTTCAACGAACAATGTCTTCTGTGTTAATTAACTCATTAATGAACTATGCCTCCTGCGGGAACTCTTCAGCAACAGGGCTGTTACCACTTTCATCGTAGGGATTGGGAAGCACCACCTGTGTGCACTGAACCATTAATTAATGTGTCTCACAACTGGGAGTTCTCACAAATGGGAGGACACCCTTCCCTACATAGTCATCATCCAGAGGTACACATTTCTCCCAAGATTTCTTGACCTTGCACAAACGGCCTGAACAGAACCCCTGATTTCATGGAAATGCAACCCTCCACCTCTTTATTGACCTCATTGGTATCGTCAACACGGCGTCCCCTTCTTAGCTCATCTGTGAGCGACGTGTGACCGGTTTAAAGATTCCTCTTCCATCTCACAACAGTGTCATGAGATGGACTATCTTCACCATAAACAGATTTCATCTCCTGTGAATCTGTCGGGCAGTGCAGCCCCTCATGTACAAAAACTTGATAACACTTCACGCCTCAATCGTCCCTATACATGGAGTTACGCATGTTTAGGATAAACTGCCACAATATTGAATAAAGTGAAGTAAATAGTTTTGGGTCCATTAACTTGATAGGGATCACTGATGTTACCTTCAAATTTTCATCATAATTTCTCAATAAAGTCATGGCGATAACTAGACCCTTTTGATTTCCCCTCGTACAACAACAGTAACTGAATTATAACATAGTATTCATGATAATATTTAAGTGTCTGGGCCCCCACTTTGTAGTCCAGGACCCCAGTCCCAGGAACCATCAAATACAGGACTGGACAATTCAACCCAGTCACCGAGCCTGAGCAGCTGATCCCGTTAGTCGCCTCTTACGACAATCACTGGTTACTGAAGACCAATTCTAAGCCCAACTCTGACCGCAAAAGGATAGTGACCATGAATACTGTGAAGCGGCTTTGGTATATTTGGTGAAAAGGTTTTGCAATTAAAAGGGTAGATGCGTTTGGAATAGTTATAGCAATTAGGGGGAGTGCAAGTAATATAACATTCTCATATGAGACTTGGTGTGTGACTGCAGTGTGGAATGAAATTTGATTTTTGTGGCCCAAAAGGTTGCAGGATAAAGAAGGACTCGGTATGACCAATTGTTTTCCCCTCCCTGAAGTAGGTAGAGTGTAGTTGGTAAAGACAGCATCTGTTACAGAACGATGCCAGGAAACAGGAATTACAACATGGCATAGTATGAATCCCAGGTGAGTGTTCATAAGGATTTTATCAACGTTGAAGTAAAACAATATCATTACAAACGTAGCAATGTTGCATTTGTAATGTCTTATAATGAAAACAATAAACAAGTACTAGATGCATTTTTTTATTGTACATGAGTGAGTGAGTTATAATTCATAGTCCCGTTTTCATAATTTCAGTCATTTGATGACTGGGACAATCCGTTAATCAAAGTGTACCAAATATATCACTACGCATAACTGTACATTATTAAAAAGGGCTACAGCGCCAGGGCGCCAGCAACCAAAAATAGGCTACCATACTGCACACCTAGCGCTTTAAGGATTGACATGGCATAATCTTCCTCCTAAACATCGCTACTGCCCCTGCTCCTTCAAGGTTGACGATGTGGTTACCCTCAGGTTTCGAAGCAATTTCCCTAATAACGGTATTTACCCCCCTGCTTGCAACAACAAATACTTCTGCTTTCGCAGAAAGCTGACCAATATAAGCAGCCAGGTCTTCCTTCTCTGACTTGCAAAGCAAGCCATCAGTGAACAAGATCACCATGTTGTCAGCATCTGCCCGGTCACCCTTCTGTGCAGTGAAAACCTCTGTTACTGCCATGTCGAGGGCATCGGCGAGATCGGTCGAAGGTCCGTTTTCATATTGTTGTTGGTTTATCATTGATTGGAGAGCTGGTTTGCTCCTTGAAGAAGGTGAGTCCAAAGGAATAAGTACTCTGGGGGTACTTGAAAACTCCATCAAAGCGACAGCGTTAGTCTGCTGGCTTACACCAATCCATGATATCAATGACCGTTGAAAATGTTTCATTTTCTCAAACACGGAGTGGGTCACTGAGCGTGACACATCGGAAATGATGAGGATGTCCAGTTTACGCCCGGTGCATTCTGGAAGAAACAAGTTGTGTATCAAGTAATTTTATTCTTTATTTCTTGTAATGTAATGTGATGTGATGTAATGAGTATGGATTTATATAGCAATGTATCAATGTGTGGATCTATATGCGTGTGTATGTATGGATCCATATGTGTGTATGTGTTGATCCATATGTGTGTGTATGTGTTGATCCATATGTGTGTGTATGTGTTGATCCATATGTGCGTGTATGTGTTGATCCATATGCGTGTGTATGTGTTGATCCATATATGTGTGTGTGTATGTGTTGATCCATATGTGTGTGTATGTGTTGATCCATATGTGTGTGTATGTGTTGATCCATATGTGTGTGTATGTGTTGATCCATATGTGTGTGTGTATGCGTTGATCCATATGCGTGTGTATGTGTTGATGCATATGTGTGTGTGTGTAAGTATTGATCCATATGTGTGTGTGTGTATGTGTTGATCCATATGTGTGTATATGTGTTGATCCATATGCGTGTGTATGTGTTGATCCATATGTGTGTATGTGTTGATGCATATGTGGATGTATGTGTTGATCCATATGTGTGTGTATGTGTTGATCCATATATGTTTGTGTATGTGTTGATCCATATGTGTGTGTATGTGTTGTTCCATATGCGTGGTATGTGTTGATCCATATGTGTGTGTATGTGTTGATCCATATATGCGTGTGTATGTATTGATCCATATGTGTGTGTATGTGTTGATCCATCTATGTGTGTGTATGTGTTGATCCATATGTGTGTGTATGTGTTGATCCATATGTGTGGTATGTGTTGATCCATATATGCGTGTGTGTATGTGTTGATCCATATGTGTGTATGTGTTGATCCATATGTGTGTGTGTGTATGTGTTGATCCATATGTGTGGTATGTGTTGATCCATATATGTGTGTATGTGTTGATCGATACGTGTGTATGTGTTGATCCATATGTGTGTGTGTATGTGTTGATCCATATGTGTGGTATGTGTTGATTCATATATGTGTGTATGTGTTGATCGATACGTGTGTATGTGTTGATCCATATGTGTGTGTGTATGTGTTGATCCATATGTGTGTATGTGTTGATCCATATGTGTGTATGTGTTGATCCATATGTGTGGTATGTGTTGATCCATATATGTGGTATGTGTTGATCCATATATGTGTGTATGTGTTGATCCATATGTGTGTGTGTGTTGATCCATATGTGTGTGTGTTGATCCATATGTGTGTGTATGTGTTGATCCATATATGTGTGTATGTGTTGATCCATATGTGTGGTATGTGTTGATCCATATGTGTGTATGTGTTGATCCATATGTGTGTGTATGTGTTGATCCATATGTGTGGTATGTGTTGATCCATATGTGTGTATGTGTTGATCCATATGTGTGTGTATGTGTTGATCCATATGTGTGTGTATGTGTTGATCCATATGTGTGTGTATGTGTTGATCCATATATTGTGGTATGTGTTGATCCATACGTGTGTATGTGTTGATCCATATGGCCGTAATGTTGATCGCGTAGATTCCACCGCCCAGCATTTCGACGTTGATCACGGATATTGTTGATCCGCCCTTGACAGCGACGCCCGTGGTGATTCCCATATAGCCGCTGGTATGTGTTGATCCATATATGCGGCGGCGCGATTCGATACCACGGCAGTATGTGTTCCGGATGCCGCCAGCGCGACGATCATTGCATTGTATGTGTTGATCATAACCGTATAATATTTGGATCCAGCATATGGTATTTGTAATGGTGGCGACTATGTTGATCGCGGTATCATCCATTGATGCGCTGTACCTTATTGACGAAGATCCATGGCTGGCAAATTGCCATTCGATCCGCATGGCGAGTCGATATGGCGCCGATTCATAATACCGCCGGTATCAATGTTGATCCGCGCTTCTTGCGTAGCCTTCCGTGTTCGACATATATGCTTAAGGATGAACGATCCATTTGCGATTAGCGTATAATGCAATAGCGCTGTAGCCGTACGGTCGCCAACAACAACGACCGTGGCATGCGGCCGAACGTTAACCCGCCAATGGCAATATGTTAATCCGTAACCGCGATTAGCGGCGACGTTCGCGCATATAATCGCTTATCGATGATCGGTAGGTGTTGAGTCGCTCCATGCGTGCGGCAACGGCGTTGATCCACAACCCTCAACCGTAACGCGATCCCGCTTATGTGTTGCCGTATCGATGACCGATTCTGTATCAATGGTAATAATGATGAATGAATGTATTGTATTTATCGTATGTGGTAGCCGTGATCCGCCCACTCCATGGCATGTGTGTGTATGTGTTGGTATCAATATGTGTGTTTGATCTCCGCCATATGGTATGGCATGTTGGAATCCGTAATGGCCAATGGTATGGCTGGTGACATGTGAGCAGTCGATAGCGGCGCAGGCACGATTGCGCTAATGCTGGCCAGTAGTGTTGATCCATGGCGGTGATTCGTTATGTATTTGTGTAATGGTCTGCCAGGTGCTGCGGTCACCAACGTATTCCAGGCGTTGTGGCTGGAACGCGATCCCGCCATATGGCGGTGACGTTGGTCAGGAAGTAATATTGATGGCGATTATTCCGTATGTGGCCAGCCAGCGATCCAGCAACCGTGGCTGGTCACGTGGCGGCGCATTGCGAATCCGTAGCGGCCAGCGTGACATGATCCGTAACCGGTATGTGTTGATCCAAACCGTGATGTCGCCCGATCATATATTGTAACGATCCATGTATGTGGGTATGTGGGCAGTTGGAGCATATCTCCCTGATGGGTCCAGCGTACGTTCTGCGGTATGTTGAGTCCATATGTATATGTTGATCAACTATGTGTAATATGTGTTGATCCTGGTCCATATGGTGTGTATGTTGATCCATGTGATCCGCATATTGTTGCCGGTGACGATTCGATGGTGTTGTTCCGATCCCATATGTGTGGTCGCTCTGTGTATGTGTTGATCCATATATGGCTGTGGAGTATGTGTTGATCCATGCTGGTATATCGCCAGATTATGGCGGCATGTTGCAGTCTATATGCGGTGTATTTGATCAACATTCATTGTTGATCAACCAGCATAGTGTTGATCCAGCAATAGGTATTATTTGATCGCCAATAATGGCGTGATTCACGTATATTTGTGCGTACGTTTGGATGCGGTTACGGGTCGCGCTTCGTGTGTATGTATTCGTCGCCGCTGGCGTGGGTCATATTGCATGTGTTTGATCCATATATGTGGGCGTGGTCGCGTTGACGGTATTGATCAGGTAATGGCGATTCGGCGGCGGTAGCGCCGATTTGATCCATACCATCGACATTTCTCTGTTGATCCATACCGATGGTATGCGGATCTGCGGCCGACGGGTCGACGCTGGTATGTATGTTGCAGATTCCATATGGCGTATGATGCGATTCGCCAATAATGGCGCAGGTAATATTGATCCATTTATTGAATTTATGTCATGTTGAATCCGCCATCATAGCCAGTATGTGGATCGCCGTGTATTTGATCCATGTTGAGATCCAGCATATGCAATGGCCAATAGCCAATGTGATTGATCCATATGAAAGCAATTCCCGGTCGTGCACGGTAATGTATGTTGAATCGATAACCAATGGCGGTATGCGTTAAGCCAAAACGGTCCATAACCGTTAATGGACGGAGCGGTCATCAATGTTGGGAATCCATATATGCTGTATGACAATCCGTGACGTTAACCGACGTTACTTATGTATTGTTATTATGTGTTGATCCATATGGCGGTGACGATTCCTTATATGCGGTTATACCGACGAATCGCATATGTGGTGTATGACGTTGATCCATATGGTATGTTTCGATCCAACCTGTGTATGTGATCCAGATCATTACGTGTGTATAATGTTGATCGCGCCTTGATGAATCCCATATGTGGCGTATGGTGTTGGATCCCCACTTATATTGGCGTGTTGATCCGCTATGGCGATTCATATAATGTTGATCCATATGCGTGGTCCATGTGGCGGTATTAATGATTGATCCATATCGGTATATTATGCGTTGCCGTAGATTGACATTGACCGAATCCATATGTGTAATGACGTTCAGCAGCGTAATAATGACGGTCCATTATGCCATTGTATCGCTGGCAGATCCGGTATTAATAATCAATTCCAGGTCGTGGCCTTCGGCGATTCGACATGTTGAAAGTCAATAACGGTATGTTGGTCTGCATATGGCCGTGATCCATATGGTAACAAATTGATTCATGGCGTATGCGTGGTAGATCGCCAGCAGCCGTTAATGTTGAATCAACCAATGGCCATATGTTGGTCCATATGGCCAGCCGGAACATTGTTATATGTTTGGAAGCGTAATGACCGATCATTACGGTAATATGGTCAACGTTAATAATGTTGATTCATCGGTACTGACGATCCATATACGATAGTGGCAATAATGTTTGATCCGTATGTGGTATGTTGAATTATGTGAGACGTATGATCCATATTATGTGGTATTCGACGTTCGCCGTATTCATGGCGGCTGTTGATCCGTAATAATATTGTTATGTAATTGGATCGATACGTGTATCATGTTGATCATTATGCCGGTCCGGAATCCATATATGGCCGTAATGTTGGTCCTTAACCAATGGCAATTATGTAATGGTATTAATGAATCGATACGATGATTCCGTATGTGTTGAATCCATGACGTTCCGGCAGTAGTAATATGTTGGTCATGTAATGGCGTTGGTCAGTTATATTGACGTCCTTAAATGCATGTTGTTGATCAAACATATGCGATGATGAAATCAATATTAATGACAGATTGATCCAGTGGTCATATAATGTGTTGATCGATACCATGGTATCAATATTGATCCGCATATGTGTATGTGTTGAATCCATATATGTGGTATGTGTTTATCGATATGTGGTATGTGTTGATCCATATGTGTGATGTGTTGATCCATATGGTATGTGTTGATCCATATGCGTGGTA